ATATTCTCTTATTCTGTACATCAGAGACATCATCGATATATACAAAATATTTGTTCTCTTATTATGCTTCTCTTGGCACTTCTTTCTGACATATATGTAGTAGGAAGTCTGAATTTTATTCATTCTCTCTCTTGCCACATCATTGTGAATAGAATCTAGACATTCACGATTGAAGACCTTTTTTATTGAACTTCCTCTATATTTTTACAATTAACAATCCATCGGAGATGCTCGACCAACTTTTATCTAACAAAATTTTGTAACCTCCCAAAACATCCATTTTTCTAAGTGTCTCATATAATGCTATAATTCAAAGTACATACTTGATAATTTGTCTTCTATGATTAAAAGTCTTATCATGACACAAGGAAAAAATAAATATAATTCAAACTTTAAAATCAATTTAATAATTTTGAAGCCTATGATGAGATAAACAAGCTTAGGTGTGATTTATCTGTTTCTGATAATTGATGAAGGTAAGCGACATGTGTATGTAAGAAAAAATCATTTTCATTTTGCAACTATGAATAATTTGATATTTTTTATCACAATGTGTCATTTAAAAACGTACACGACGATACCATGAACCAAATTTAATCAAATAAATTGATAAATATCTTCTTCTTCTTCTTCTTCTTTTTTTTTTATCCAAAATTCCACTGTTACGACCGTAACAGTAAGAAAAATGAGAAAGTGCTCGTGATTATTTACCGAGTAAAGGGTATAACGGTCTTTTTCTTGTTGTAGCCGTGTCGAATCCATATTACCATCTTCACATTGAATAATTCTATGTGCTCGTCGGCATAAAATTCAACCTCACAAAGTGAAATTAAGCATCACTTTGACAAAATCAAAACACAGCTTTTGTTCATTTGGTATATTTCTATCACGTGCTTCAATTATTGGCTACATATATGAAGTCATGTAGGAGACAAATTTTCCAAACTACCCTTTCTAAGTACGGTGAAGCCCCTTACGGTTCATAATTATGAGTCATTTACAAGTCTCATAAATGATCATTTCATAATAAATAGACCCAACAAGGCAACAATTCTAAATATTTGTTCAATTTATTCAATTTATTTACCAGTGAGGCTATGCTCGGTAATTAAATAAGTTAGTTTACAGCTTATTAATGTTTATATTTATTTTAAAAAGTTTTCGAGATTTCGGAAACAAAACACATATATTATATCCTACATTAGTAAGATCTTTAGGGATTTCATAAAACTTAACAAATCTTAAAAAAAAAAAATTAAAAAAAAAATAAATTTCATAATTTTTTAAAAAAATATCACGTATAATCATAAATGAATACACACCCTCCTACAAATCACCTAAATCAGGTAAATTGTACATGCCATTGAAATTTAATTTCATTTGAAATAGAAGTTGTATTGTCATTTTACAAGTAATAATAATATAATATGATTAAATGAATTTATAAATGAAATAATATTTATTTATAGAATTATGTCATTTCGAATATGATCCAAAACAATACATACATAGATAATAAAAAAAAAATACATAAAATAGGTTACATAGCCCTATAGGAGTAACCGAATGAAAAATCATGAGGAATTTGCACCCCTTACCACCTGTTATGATTTTTATTACACTTATATTTCTCTTACAATTTAATTTATAAAATTGCCTAACTAAACAAAAAATATTTCAATTTTACCTGAATTGGGATATAACGGTTATCCCTTTTTCATGGCATATTAAATGCTAATCAATTAAGGATTTCTTTACCTAAAAAATGGGACAAAAAAATTGAAACTCTATCTCTCCCCAATGATTCCGTTAGTGGGATACCACTTACCACCCACGTCTCCTCTCCTCTCTCTCTCTCTCCCTCTCTCTCCAAAACCCATCTCCAGATTTTCAACATAATTTACTTTTTTTTTTTCATGAAGATTTTCGTTTAGCTAGATCGTGCACTTCACTATGCTGTGAAATATTTTGAATGTGTAGTAGATACTTGTTACAATGGCAGGCTGTGTTGTTTGAATGATGTTGGAAAGTGTGAATGTAGGTTTATGTTTATTGCTATATGCATTTGAAGGTTTTATGTGTGATTTGATGTGTGGTAGATTGAATGAATGTGACAAATGATCTTGTTTTTTGGATCTGGCCGTGAATATGATTTTACCGATGCTCGAGAGGGAGTTTCTGGAGATCTGGCTATTTGTTGGGTCTGTATTTGCTTAATCCGTGTTGAGGGTGGTCTATAAAATTCCAGTTGTGGGTTTGATGGAGTGGGGTATATGTTTGGTATATTAGAAGATATTTTTTACATGAGTTTGACAAAGCATAATTTTTTTATTATTTTTTTTGTATATGTATGGTTTATATTCAGTATATTTCTGGTATATTTTTGTTACATGATAAAAAAAAAAAAAAATTATCATAATTTTTTATGTATAAAATCAGTATATTTTTTGTATATATTCGGTATATATGCTGAAAATTGCATAAACAGCTTGGTCTGAAATTTCGTTTAAATTAAGAACATGTACAATATGTTTATAAAAGACAATATACAGAGAAAATATATTGAAAATATAAAAATTACAAAACGTAACATAAACTGAAAACATTCAATGAACTATAAAATAAAATAAAAAAAACTCAACATAAACCCAACATATACTGTGTAGTATATGCACAATATATTATTTTTTATTTCTATGGTATATATTAAGTAATCGGTTATAATATAAATTATATATATACTTTAATATAAAAGCCAAATAATAAATAAATAATAAATAAATAAAAAATAAAAAGACTTATTGTTTGATGGAAGATATGTTTTTAATTAGCAACATATACTGAATATATACCAACATAAACCCAACATATACCCACCAGGATAACACCCACCTCTACGCGAATTAGCATATACTGAATATATACCAACATAATCTTAACATATGCCACAACTCTGCGCGAATTAACATATAATGAATATATACCAACATAAACTTAACATATGCCACACCTTTGCGCGAAGTATATACTGAATATATACCAACATAAACTTAACATATACCCATTGGGACAGCTTTAAGAATTACGAAATTAAATGAACTAGTTATTTATTATATGCATGTTTTTCAGTTCTCTCTCTTAATCAAGCCCATAAAAAGTGGAAGAGATATGGCAACATGTCAGTTTTAAGAGAGGGGCGTAAATCATGGATTGAAAAAGTAAATGAGAGTTGACTTATTTGTAACTGATTTTTAGGGATTTATGTAGTATATTTTTACAAATTAGGTAGATGTACAATATATTACATATGGATGGTATTTTTGCAATATTTTCTATTTCTTGTAGGAAACTTAAAAATTTCCCAAAATCATTGAGAAATAATATATAAACTTCCAACATTTTCATGCGGCCCAATAAGAACCAGGGCCCAAAAGAAATGCATGAAGCCCAAACAAAAAAAGAAATATTTTGCACACCATATACTATAGTTTCAGCCTTTGCACACTTTACTGCCAAACTTTTAAACCTCACTACAGCACCAAATGGCAAAAACACAAGGCAAAAAAATTGAAAAGAAACAAAAAATGTATCTTTGCAGTTCAAATCTCATCTCCTTACATCATATTTCCCTCAAAAACGGAAAAAAGGAGACGTAAAGTTAGTAACGCCGGAACGTCTGACGAGCCGTCGCCGGACAAAAATCGGACATTCCAAAGAACAAAGTTTGTTGTATGAACTCTGAATAAGTGATGGACAGTTTACTAGGATTTGCTTTGTTTGTAAGACACATGAGGTATAAGCTCCTGCAGAAAAAAAAAAAATCAACAGAATGTTGATATTGTGTTACTATCTATCCTTTGAGGTTCTGTCTAATTTCAAGGAAAAGAATAAAACAATTACCTTCAAACTTGCAAGTAACTCAAACTCAGAAAGACAGTATCAAACCGAAAAAATTAAATTGCAATTTTAGTACCGTATGTTTCGCTACCCTAACTTTTCGGCTCCCTTTAAATTGCTGTTTTGAATTTCGTCACGTATGTTTGTAATAAGGTTACAAAAAGGTTCCCTTCAAATTTGCAAAAAAGTTGCAATTTCGTCCCCTTATTTATGCTCGGGTAACGTTTTTTGCAAACACAAGCGACGGAAATCAAAACAACAATTCGAATGGAACAGAAACCCGGGTAACCTTTTTTGCAAACATAAGAGACGAAAATAAAAAAGGGAACAAAAAAGTTAGGATAGTGAAACATATAGGACTAAAATTGCAATACACATAGCGCTAACATTCGTAGAAAAATTCATAACAAAGTTACCTCCGAGTAACAAGCGTGATGATCGTGCCGTATGTTGGAGCTCTTGACGATATTCTCCCATTTCGCATCATCACCTCCGGACGAACCGTTCAGCTCACCACTATTCCTTCTCGACTGTCCAAACGACGGCAAAGTCCGCCACAACCAAGACTCGGACGGCGATTTCGGCAGAGGCGGACGCAGAAGCGACTTCTTAACATCCTTTTTCACCTCATCATAATCCGTATATTTCGAACCAGACCTTTTCTCCACGACTTTTCTAACCGAATCAACGTACACTGTTTTCTCGACCGCATGGTTCCTGGACACGTCACGCAGGGCATTGAACATTTTGCGTGAAGAGGCTATTTTGGGGTCGATTTCTTTCGGGACGCCTAGAAAACCAGACGCTTCTCGAAAAGCTGAGCGTGGGGACTCGTTTCGGTAGGGGGAGACGCTTCCACTGCGGTAGCGCCGAAGAGGGGAGTCTCGGGAAGTGAGGAGAGGGTAAGACGAGTCGTGGATGCTCGATTTATTCGTGATGTTGGTGTCGTGGGGCCCACGGAGGTCTCTCGAGATCTGACCCGAGTGGTACTTCTTTCTCGGAGGAGGGGTGAGCTGGCGTCCGTTCTGAAAGGGGGTCGTTTCGTGTAGTTGTTAGACAACAGACATTATAGGTTAAACGGATAAAGCGGCAAAACAGAAAAACTCGAAAATTTACCTTGTCGAGAGGCCCACTAACGGCATTCCTCCTCAACCTCCTCTCCTCACCGGCTGTAGGAGTCGGGGGACGGCTCTTGGACTTCATAGCCGGCAATGGGTTCAGCAGGCACATCGAACTCTTCACGCTGCATATGCGGGGGATAATTCCCCACTTCTTCCCTGGCTTCTTCACCGGCACACGACCAATCTTCTCATCCTCATCATCCTCACTCTCTTCATTATCAAAACCGTATCTCCCATAATACGGGAGTACCTCAGCTGACCCGTATTTCCTTACAAGAGGCCTCGTAATCTCCCCCGACACGAAATTTTTCTTCACCTTAACAATTTCCTCATCCTTACGCCCCACCACCGACGGCTTTTTGGCCACATACTGAGGCGTCTCGAGTACAACAACTGCTTTCGCAGCCGGCAAGAATCGACTCATCATGAAATCCCGCGTCTGTTTGTCGACCGAAAATGTTCCGGAAGGCCTCACTCCCGTGCCGTGGCTCCCGCTCACGCCACTAACACTGCACGACTCGTTTAGCGAAAGAGCGTTTATTGCATCGGAGTAAGTGTCCTCCTCGTCGTTCTCGGTTCCAGAATTTTCAGACTCGTCTTTG